TAAAATGATATAATGTAGATAAAAGTAAAGCTAAAAACTTTAAAATAAATATAGGCAACTATTTTAATAAAATGATATAATGTAGATAAAAGTAAAGCTAAAAACTTTAAAATAAATATAGGCAACTATTTTAATAAAATGATATAATGTAAATAAAAGTAAAGCTCAAAACTTTAAAATAAATATGGGCAACTATTTTAATAAAATGATATAATGTAAATAAAAGTAAAGCTAAAACCTTTAAAATAAATATAGGCGAAACTATTTCAAGCATGTGTTTTCAACAGAAGTCTTCAAGTACGTAATCTTCTTTCTTATAATCCTTTTGTCTCTGTTACCATCCATCACCGAGAGTTGGCTGTCTTGATTAATGTAACTGAATGGTATACGTGGGCTATTTTGTTTTAGGATTTTTGCCTGAGAAGGGGGATAAAAAAAATACCTTGAAATAGGTCATATTCCCACTTTTTAATATGCTTTTGGCTTTGAATTTCAAGACACGAGTAATGAGATATTAAAGCTTTAATAACAAGAGAGAGAAGGGAAAAAGATCATGATCTAACAACGTCCGTTATACAGTTTTTCCTTCCTTAATGGGTAGCCTCAGTTAGTAGTAATTAATGACTGAGACACTTCATACTCTGAAGTTTTACTCTCACAACACTTAAACAAGTACGGTGATCAGTAAAAACTGTTGCTTAATATCACATGCCTTGTTTACTTGGTGTGTGGATGTTGATTACAGAAGTTGCAAAGAGAAAAGTTATTTTTGGATGAAGTAAAATAATTTTTATGATCTCTATCAAAGATTTGTTTCTTTACCTCAGTCAATCCTTTATAAAATTATTTAAGTAAACCGTTGAAATAAGAGACCTGTAACTGTACCATATTTTAAATTTAGAATTTGAAAAAAAAAGGTGTTTTTTAAGTGTTATTTATTTTATTCAATGTCACAATTTCCCCACCATCAGAAGAACAAAACTGAAACCTACTGGAATTAAGAAAGTAAAACGTCTCCCACAACATGAACTGTAATGTCTATGTATGTACTAATAGTTCCGTCGTATGTGTGAATACATCTATCTTATTTACTGCTGCTTGTCAGACTACAGCTTTTGCTAACAGTAATAATTATTCAAGAATCTCTGCGTTCAGGGTTAGTACATACATGGTTGACGTGAACATAGATTTATTGCATATTTTGCTAATCATTTACTCTAATTTTTCATAATTTTCAAAACGTAAGCAATTTTTGCAACTGAAGCTGTTTCTTTATAAACTGTATTTTTGTAATTTCGAGGATTGCTGGTGTTATCAACATTTTCAGTTTGTAACTTTTCTGTTTTATCAAAATTTTATACTTGTGCAAAATTGATTAGGGTTTCATTTGTGTAACTCCTGATCAATCACTGAAGTAGATCGGCGGGTTTTGAACTTTTTTTACTTATCTCTCCCCTTCAGAATAAAAATAAACAGATATGTTGCACGTTTATTTGTCGCTTTATTAAAAAAAAGTTGTTTGTGGTCGGATGTGCAAGTGCCGACTGTGTTGCATTTGGTATAGTCACGTTATTAATTGCAGTAAATTTATTTCTCCAACTCTTCTTGCAGACCCCCCCACCCCATGATACGTCTAGTGACACCTAGTTTGAGATCCACCGAATCAGATTGTTTCCTCCCTGAGGCCTTTCATGAACAGAAATTCTAGTCTCATTTATCGACTCCTAATAAAATACAAATAGAACAGGTTAAGCTTAAGTGGCCAGCTTTGACAACTTAATAAGTTTAAGGACAAATTTTTTTTTCCTTTGTTTTTTTTACATAAAATTTTCTAGACTCGTCACTTTTTCAGGCAAGGACAATATCTGTGATAAAGAATCAGACCTGTGAAGACTGTAAAACGGAATATGCAAATCAACTCCAAAAAACCAATGAATTGCAAAGGCTACATTATACTACTGCAGTACCAAATGTGTTTCAGGTAAAGTTTTCCATTATTTATACAAAATATTGTTTCTACGGTGTTCCGGATAAGGGGAGTTCTGGTGTAATTCCCGACTAAAAAAATCGGACATTTACAGCCTTAAAAAAATATTGTTTCTACGGTGTTCCGGATAAGGGGAGTTCCAGTGTACTTCCCGACTAAAAAATCGGCCATTTACAGCCTTAAAAAATATTGTTTCTATGGTGTTCCAGATAAGGGGGGTTCCGGTATAATTCCCGACTAAAAAATTGGCCATTTACAGCCTTAAAAAAATATTGTTTCTACTGTGTTCCGGATAAGGGGAGTTCCAGTGTACTTCCCGACTAAAAAATCGGCCATTTACAGCCTTAAAAAAATATTGAGAAGTTATTTTGCTGCTGTGGAAAAATGAATACAGCCCTCGCAGCTTTAAAGGTAGTACAGTAATCAATGGTTGCATTCTTGTAGCTTTATGCAGTTCTGCACGAGATCCGTACTTTTCACACAGTAGAGCTGCAAAAACAAATGCTCGCTAACTGCCAGAAGTTTCTATTGGTGCACTAGTGAATGATCCAATTTTGTGTAAAAAAAATGTATGAAAAATTTGTAACGTCATTATTTTTGTTTATTATGACTACAGCTGGTGATTTAATTTGCCGAATTAATCCTGTGCAAAATTTCACCTTTTGGAATAGTAGAATAATTGATAATTAGTTAACTTACTTTTTTATCGCAAAATGTTACTGCTGTAGACTTTATAAAAAAAAATAAAATTACAACCGCTGACAAAATTCTGGGAGTGATTACTCCTTACAGAAAAAATTATCTGGAGCACTGTTTCTATATTCTTTTTTCCTGTCCATTATTTTAGTTATGCTCTGATTTTTTTTTTAACCTGTTGTATAGAGACTAATCCTAAAGCACAGTAGGTTAAATCCAGCATTGTGACTGAGCTGAAATACCTTTTTTCCAGGGTGCTGTAGGTGTACCTTTGAAGTTTGGTAAAGATTAGTAGAATTGGAAACATGAAGGGGTCCCAGTTGGGTGTCATTAGGGTCATATTAAAACACCAACCCTTTATTTCACACCGGGCAAAGGGTTCCTGCCAGGTTTGGTGTGAAAGTTGAATACACAAACATCGACTTAATCAGTAATGACATTGGGATCAGACAGAATTCTGACCCACCCACCTGCATGACACTCCTCAGTGTTCCTAAAGGTGCAGGCTAAATTTGGTTCAAGAGTGGTCAAAAACTATAGACATTAGAAGTGGACACACAAGCAGACAATGGCCCCTTAATATGGGCTTGGATCAGATCTGAATGATGATCCATCCCCCTGTAATACTCCCCAGGCCAAAAGATGAAAAAAAGCATGAAAAATAGATACACAGCTGACTCTTTTTGTGTTATTTACAGATACCAAGTAAACATATAAGATGTTTCAATGAATCTGTTTCTTTGACAGCTTTAAAATAGTTTTCATTGACTACAGATTAAACTTATCAGTACGTGGAGTAATAAGACATTTTTTGGAATGTATTTCTCATACAGCAGATTTTTGAGGTTGTACCTACCAAGTTCTTACTTCTGTAAAAAAAAGTACATAATCAACTCATCCTGCACTTCTTGAAAAACAAGTTGTCGTAAAACTACTTTGGCCGTTCATATCTGCAGGGGATCATTTTTTTTTATTTCATCTGGACTACTGTGTCCCCTTACATTATGTGTATATAAAAGGTGGCAATTTTTTGTAATGAACTCCTACAGTTTTCAGCAGAACTTTAATTATCAAATGATTTATAGGGTTAATGTAAATAAAAATTCATACAAGTATTATGTATTTAATATTTCATTAGCAAAAACTTCATATACCTTCCTAGAGACTCTGTATGTTCTAGTGCACAAAGTAGAGGCCAGTTTGGGTTATCTCATTCTTTTCTAGTAACTTGTGTGATGGTTCATTACGTGCTCCATTATAAACGTTTATCTCGGCTCAATATGTGCTCCATTATAAACGTTTATCTCGG